ACCACGCATCGGCGAAGAGCTGTGAAGCCATGACGTCAAACTCAAGTGCTTCTGGGTGTCTTTTGTGGTACAGCACAACAGTAAACAAAGCATCGAGATGGATGTAGATGAAGCCATACATTCTGTGTTGGCAACAATTCCTGAGATTGAGGATTTAAAGCTGGAACAAAGAGAATGTTTGGTGAATTTTATCAAGGGGAAAAGCTTAATATACCTTAATATACCAAAGCTTAATATATATAGCCCCGTTAGCGGCGCATTACAAACGTCACGACCAACTAGCAACGACTGGTTAAATAAAAAAAGTACCCATCTACCACTGAGTGAATGAATCCTAATGCCTCAAGGTCAGACAGTTTCCATGAAGTGAAATGGGCTGATGAATCAGGCTAAGAAATCCATGCATATTTGAATGAGTCCAGTCGTACATAAAATGTATTGTGTTTATTTTATCCATCAGAATACGAATTGAAAAGTTACGACATCATGAATTGCAATTACGAAATTTACGATTATGTTTTCTTCAGTATGATACGAATTCACAGACGTGACTCTACTGTCAAAAATACATCATCACTTTACAGGCATTATTTATTGAGCAGAAGAAACATCGTTCGAGATGCTGGACTTTTGCGCCGCAAACAGACTGAACCAGGACTGAACCAGGACTGAACCAGGACTTAACCAGGACTAAACTAGGACTGAACCAGGACTTGCCCCATGTGCAAATTCTACTCATCTTGAAGCCTCAGTACATAACTTTTCCCCAAAATAGACTAAAATAAAAGCACATGTTTTTGTCATTTTAGTTGCTTTTATTGTGCCGAAAAACATAGAAAAACATGTGTTCTTATGGTGTGTGGTCTTGCATCTCCACAAACCCGACTCGTATTTGGCCTGGAGAAGGGCCTCTTCCTGCTGTTTCCATGGAAACGTGGTTCCTTTGGCTATAATCTTTCACAGTATGGCATAAAAAGTTTGTCCATGGAGAATGTTCCCAAGTGTAGTTTTACTTTTCTTTTTCCACCTCCTCCAGAAGTTACATACTGTTGCTTTAATCCGGTGGAGTTAGCTCAAGGCTTGTTGCATGTTTGAAGTACTTATGTCTGACTTGGAATGGTAAGACATCTGTGCATTGTTATACCAGAGAGCTACAACGTACTGTATGTAGTGCATTTGTGCCATGATTGACACTGGCAGATCAGTCTTAAAAGGCCCATATTAGGCTATTTTCTGATCCATGTTATCATGTTGTTTCCTCAACACAAACATACCTGGAATGTCTTGTTTCATTTACACATTTACCACACAAACCCTGCATCAGAGCCCTGCAGGGACCCACGGGATCCGACACAAAACAGTGCGGCGCGGGACACATTTTGAAAGCTCACTGCAGGCAGGACCTAAATATGAGTGTAAAGTAAAATATACAAATGATTAATGTAAGCCTAGCATACATAATTTGTGTTGGATATTTTATTTGGCATTAACAAAAACATTTTAAGCAGCCTAAACTTGTGGATGTGGTCTAATCTCGCACACATTTTATACATTCCTTTCTGCTTCTCCATATTTGATAGAGCTCCGAAGAGCCAATGAAAAGACCTTTAGTGAGAAAGAAAGCCAACGTCCCCATTTTGCGGGATTTGCGGGTGGGAGCGGGATAAAATATCGCAGATGCGGGACGGGAGCGGGATAGAAAATTACAATTCTTTGCGGGAGCGGGACTGCACGATGTGGGTGAGGGCAGACTGAAAATTCTGTCCTGCGCAGACCTCTACTCTGCATATTTAGGAGAAAGTTCTTCTCAAACAAAAACACTTCCTCCTTGTGATATCATGTGGTAATACCTTAAGTGCTCCACTGTATTTTTAATCTCCACACACCTTCACTAGAATCATTTGGATAATTTCAGCTCTGGAATTAAGTATCTCTACAGTCAAAAAAGGGAAGCTGTTAACTTGAAAACTACCGCTTGAGCTTTAGAGATGTAGACAGACTAATAAAAGATTAGTCAAACATGTGTGAATGAAACAAAAAAACAACTCCAGGCATGTTTTTGATGAGTTAACAACATTCTAACATGGCTTGAAGCTCACAAGAATCAAGTTTATGTAATTTAAGACCTTTAAAATCTAAAATGGTTTTACATCAGCAGCAAACCCCGCGGCCATCACTTTATCTGTGGTACTTTTACACTTTCTTGAAATAACTTAAACCATTTCTCGCTCCAGTAACTGCTGCTCCAACTGTTCCAAACATCTATTTCCTGTTCAAGGTGCCAGGGCCCATTTTCAACCATTCTCCCATAGCTTTAGCATTATCATTAGCCTTGGCAGCAGCAGGCTAGTCCCCGGTCTGCTGGAGTCCGCTGTTTCAAAGCAACTGGTGTGAATCAGATCAGACTTGAGATAACAGATTTGTTAATGGGTGATGTTTTGCTGCAGAAAATCATACGATTTATAATATTTAAGACCAGATTATGCCACCATTTATTATTTTATTCTTTTCAAATAAATTAAATGCAAAATGGAATTTATAAACAGTGCAATGAGACTTACTTTGCACCGTATTTATTCATTCTTTCAACCAATAAAAGCATTTTAATGAACATCTGTAATTGCGGTGTAATTATGACCTAATTCTCTCATTCACTGAAACCACTGAACCAGAAGCCATTTGAAGTCCTTATAGTATTTGACCCTTTACTGTAGATAAAGGTCAGAAATGTGTAGTGTTTTGACAAGGAGCCCCGTTAAAGTCCACAGAGTGATTGAAGTGAAGTATTTTGGAGCAGGGCAGGTGGGGCTGTGGTATCCAGACACACAGACTACAGTCCTGCTGTGGGGCCACACCATTTGTGCCTCACATACATAAAAGAACAAGGACAGGGACTATGTGGAAGTTTTTGGGCTTTCTCTGGATTTGTATTCAAGCGTAAATGAACAAGTGTACTGAAAAAGTGGTATTACTTGAGTTGAAGTAAAATAATTCAAAAGTAATAGTAGTAGTAATTGTAAGAGTTGTTATTGTGGAAAAGGAGAAATTCAATTTGTCGACTGCCCAAGCTGATCCAAGCTGCTTCTTCAGTTCTCCTTGGATGAGCTGCGAAATGTATTCGACTAAATAAACTTTTGTCCAGTCGAGAAACATGGATTCTACCTGGATGACTGAGGGATTTTTCACAGTAGTTATTGTGGTAGTGGTACTAGCAGTAGTAGCAGTAGTAGCAATAGTACTTATAATGGTAGTGGTAGTAGCAGCAGCAGCAGCAGCAGCAGTAGTAGTAGTAGTAGTAGTAGTAGTAGTAGTAGTAGTAGTAGTAGTAGTAGTAGTAGTAGTAGTAGTAGTAGTAGTAGTAGTAGTAGTAGTAGTAATAATAACAGCAGCAGTAGTAGTTATAGTAGTTGTAGTGGTAATTGTAGTAGTAGCAATAGTAGTTAAGTTATAGTGGTAGTAATAGCAATAGAAGTAATAGTAGTTGTAGTGGTAGTAGTAGCAGCAGTAGTAGTAATAGTAGTTATAGTGGAGTGGTAGTAGTAGCAGTAGTAGCAACAGTAGTTATAGTAGCAGCAGTAGTAGTAATAGTAGTTATAGCGGTAGTGTTTGTAGTAGTAGTAGTAGTAGTAGTAGTTCAAATGTATTCTCAGGTAGTATGTTTGATTGTATATTTGGACATAATTTGTAATAACTTCATTAAAAATGTATGCAAAATAATAATTGCAGTTAAGAAAGCTTCAAATCAGTCCACTTTTTCACATAAGTTTACAGTTTACAAAAAGGAACTACAGCAAATAAAAGCATCAAGTATGTATACAATTTTAAAAAGTAAAAATAAAAAATGCTACTCAACTAACTATATGATAGTAAATGAACCTTTCTAGTATCCACTTGTGAAATCAAAGCCAGGGTCAGGGTCAGGAGCCGAGGAAGTATTTTCTCTTTGTAGTGGATAAGCAGGTTATTGAGTGTGGAGCAGAGCAGATGTGTAAACTGGACTCATTGGTTCCACATTAACTGTTTTTGCTTCAGACACTAAAGAGTTCAGCTTCAGTTCAGTCAGTCTGACCGGGGCGTCATGCGACCCAGGGCAGTGCTAGACTGCTTTATTTTTACTTTTGATCTACACTTCCCACAACAAAGAGATTCTTATTACATTATCTTAAATATGTTAATTCTATCAGGTCTAAATAGGTAATAGACGTAAAGAATTTGATTATTTTATTTGGTTACTGTGGGAAAATAGTATGCATTCTTTTGGTGGGAGAGACAATGCATTTTTCCAATCATGAATTACATTTTTATATGTAGGAGATGTTGTTTGGAAACACTACACTTTTAATAACCTCAACAAAGTATCAACAAAGACTTAATTCATAATGAAGAAATAGTTAGTTAGCTTAGTAACTACCCTAACTTTAACTCATAGCCCCTTAATTAAGTAGTTACTAAGCCTGAATCATTTTGAATAAACTATGTGTTCATTATGAATTTCAATGTTTATATATGCTTTTATAAAGATAATAAAAGTGCAGTTATTGTGGTAATTTGTATTTTTAAGTACATACACTTCCCTTAGACTCATTCCGACCTCAACTGTGCTGAAATTACCTTTTGTACGAAGTAGGACTTGTTGAACAGTTATTATTCTTAACATTCTTTAAACTGTTTTGTGCTCTTTGCTGGCAACAATGGCATTTTATTGGTGGAAGAATGTGGGATGCAGTTCTTTCACCTCTTTTCAGTGTCAGACGCACCTTTATAAAGTGTAGAAAATGTCAAAGACGGCTTAAAAAAGTAACAAAGACTGTATTTTTTCCATCATTTAAGTGGAACTATCACCCTTTTTTCGCTACTAAACTTGTGTATGTGGATATCTGTTAGACCAATTACACTGGTATTATATCTCCAGACCTCACCCGTCCTACCCCATCACTATTTTCTAAGTCCAACTTTAAGAAGTTTGGATTACTTACATAAACTATGCTTTTCTCTTCCAGGTATGACTATGTAGAGATCCATGATGGAAACTCTGAGTCTGCAGACCTTCTGGGGAAACACTGCAGTAACATCGCTCCTGCTCCGATCATCTCCTCTGGACCATCGCTGCACATCAAGTTTGTGTCCGACTACGCTCACCAGGGGGCAGGCTTCTCGCTACGCTACGAGATCTACAAAACAGGTTGGTTTAATGAACAACTGCTATTTATAATTTTAATTTCCCCACACATATACGTTATATTTGTGTTTGTGCTGCTTTAAACTTGTGTAGTAATCAGTGCGGGCAATGTCGTCTTCATTCATATCATTTCTACTCTAGTGACACAGTTAAGTAAATTCCCAAGCCTGTTTGGATTTTCAATTAAGCTTTGTTGAATAGTCCACATATCTCCATAAAGCTTGACAAGAATCCCCCAAACAACCCTACTGACAACTGGCTACTACTACCAGAGACGGGACTTGCAAGTCATGACTTGGACTTGAGTCAGTCTTGAGTCACTATTTTTAGGACTTGAGACTTGACTTGATAAAATGGACTAAGGCTTGGGACTCAACTTGGACTTAAAGATCAATGACTTGGGACTTGAGAAGACTTGAGAAGCAATCTAAACTCTTTCTTTTCTGACCGTAATGATTCACACTAAGATCTTGTCAAGACATTTAAAAAGGAAAAATTTACATTTCTACATCTCTTATGTACTCTATATATACTCATATATAAATATACTATGATTTTTTAAAGTACAAATTAGTTTAAAATTCATATAAACTGCAAAAATCTGAGGTATAATTAGTACTTTGGTTTAAAGACTTGAAATCACTTGATGCTCAAAGCAGACGACTTGGACTTGACTTGGACTTATGGGCCAGTGACTTGAGACTCGACTTGGACATGCCTGTATTTGACTTGAGACTTTCTTGAAACTTGCAAAACAACGACTTGGTCCCGCCACTGACTACTGCTTCTACTAAACCTAGTGCTACTACTACAACCACAACAACATTTATTACCAATATTTATACCCCTTTCTACCCTTTTCATTGGCTTTTTGACAAGATTTTGGGACAATTTCCAGAAAAGAAATACATTTTGATCCTCCTTTCTGTCCTTATGACCTCCATAACAGCAGTGCTACGGGCTCCTTACATCTGCCCCAGTCGCCTATTACAGTTTAAACCACTCCATCCACACACTGCTCCATCCACGCCTCATTAAGTGTCCAGTTCTCTCCCCATTATAGCGTCCCGTTCTGGGGGGACCAGCCGACCAAGCACCCTCCCCCTCCCCGGAGACCTCTTTAGCCCATCCAAGCAGGACATCTCCTCCTTCACACCATTCTAATGTCTTAATGTATGTGTGACAATTCTCCTTCATGGTACACAGGGTCACGCCAAAACCAATCGAGATCAAGGGTAGAGAGAGGGTCGGCCATCTTCGCTGGTTCCCCCCGAAAGCATTCCTTACATGCCTGTTTAATTGAGTCCCGGTTCACCCCCCCTCGCACGCACATTTGTACCCAGGCGGAGGTGCTTGGGGCTGGGGTTACTATCACAACACGTGCTGGTCACTGGTTCTCACTTATAAGGAGCAGGTCTATGGGGAATTGGTGTGTGGATTTGAGAAAGTCTTCCCCATTGGACATTAGAACAACAAGGGTGTCAGTGTTAGCACCGCAGGTCCCTAGAGGGGGCGCTAGGCGTAATTTGAGACACAGGCCATAAGTGAAACAAAAGCCAATGGCAATTAAAAAGTCATTACTCATTGGTTATTTTGGTTTGTGCCCGACTTGAAGAAATTCTCTGAAATCTAAAACATGCGCATTAGGTTAATCCCCCAGATGGGAATATCGGGCCAAGATCCTGCCTCAAGATATGGAAGGAGTTTGGGTCAGTAGCATTGTGTTCATGGGTCAAATGCATATAATTTCATTGGGGAGAGTGAAGTTTATTTTACCTTTTGGACCAAAGTGTTACTACAATGAGTGATATATAATTAAAAGCACTGTACCTACCTGGGTCGAGACAGATTTTTTTCAAATAGATGGAAAATTGCGTATAGAATTCATAACATACTAATTATTAACCATGATGAGTTTATAAGCAAAGGCCAGAGCAGAATTGACTTCCTTATTCATGGACAATAAAACATTCTACCTTAGTTTTCGGACTACAAGTCACTCTTTTTTTTCATGGTTTGGGTCGTCCTGCGACTTATACACTGGTGCAACTCATATATTAAAATGTTCACACTTACAGCCGACAGAGGGCACTCTAGGCTTGTGTGCCAGTATCTATTGCTCGTGTTACTCCTGTACCACTGTCACTTGGCTCTACTGTGCATGTCTCCTGCAGAAAGAGCCACTGTCCTGTCTGGTATCATGTCAGTCGATCGCACCATTACTGCTGTACCACTGAAAATGTAAACAAACTTATTAAGACAATGGAGAAAACTGAACACAAATGCCCCCAAAAAGAAAACCATATTTTGCAGATTACAAGCTGCAAGTAGGAAAATATGCATCCGAAAATGGTAATTGAGCAGCAGAAAGAAAGTTTGGAGTGAGCGAGAAACTTGTAACACCGGGCTGGGTGCACCATACAATTTTCCTGGAAGTCAATGGATGGATCCATAAAGCCTGGACGTCAGTGACAACAGAAACCAGAAAGGCTTGAGAAAGGCCTGAATAATTCTAACTGGAACTGATGCTGAGTCTGACGACAGCTACACAGAAGAGGAAGCAGTGCTCCGCTTACCTCCGAAGGTCACGGAGTTGCTCAGAAGTGACACCGAGGATGAAGAATTCAATGGATTTAGTGATTTAGATGAGTTTGTTCAACTTGTTCTGTGCTATTGTTTATGCTATAGTTATATGAAGAACTGTTCATATGTTACTTTAACAGTCTGTTGTTCTCTGTTGTATTATTATTACTATAACTTGCCTTTCAAGATGAAATGTTGGTTCCTGGTCTCTGATTTTAAAAAATACATTTTCCCCAAAAAGTGCGACTTATAATCTGGTGCAATTTATATATGTTTTTTCTTCTTCATTATGCATTTTTCGGCTGGTGTGACTTATTCTCCAGAGTGACTTATATTCCGAAAAATACGGCATACTTAAAGGCAGACAACACACAGCAGTCGTCTTCTTCTTTATTCCAAAAGCAACATCTGCATTTGAATTCGATCTGAATTCACACCTCACTCTTAAGGACAGATTAAAGGGCACAAAATACCCCCTAAAAACAATTGAATAAAAACACCATTTTCAGTCCCCCATGAAGTCATCTGCTCGTGGTCTCCGTGCTCTCCCTCTCATTTCCTGTCTGCTCGCATTCATTAGAAAAGCCCATACAGGCATATCTCCATTAGAATGCAGAACATGACTCATGACCATGTAGCTCAATAAGGAAGTACAGGATATGAGAGGACTTAGTGTGAGACCATGCAATGTTTTTAAACTAGAGAGGAACGTATGGACACCAATGGAATAACCTACTTAACATGTGTAGCAATGTACAATGGGATTCAATATGATCTGTGCATTTGAATAGCTGCCCAGTGGTCAAAAGTTCAAGGCTATTGAAAATATTAAAGGTGCACTGTGCAAATTTTCTAGTTACTGGTTACTACTGTTCTTGCTTTGCCTGGAGTTTTCCACAGTATGATATTCAGTTTGTAACTTCGATGATTTTATTTCCCAAAAATACCTTAAATAATATGCATTCTTGTTACTGTTGTCGCAATACTAACATTTCGATGCTCAATACAGATTCCGATACCACGATGATACTAAAAAACACTCTTTCTTTAGACAATAGAATGCGATTTTCAACATTTCGTTTTATATTATCATGTGATGTTCTATCTGTGTAATCCGTCAGTGGTCCAGGTAGGGTCCATAGTGGTCCATGGGCGTAAACTAGTCTATATGGTCTCCTAGTCCTTCTGAAACATCTTAAGATCATTCTGAAGGTTCATTTCTGTCCTGTAAATATGACGTTTTTAGTATCGATACTTATTCAAATTACTATCTAGTTTCAATGCTCGTTTTAGTCTTGATTAATGTCTGATTTTCGGGCTTTCGTCTTCACAAATCTAACCTGTAAATTGGCCTGGTTGCATCACCTGGTTGTCTCCATGGAGATAAATAAGGTTAAAGCCATACTGTGCAACATTCCAGGCAAACATTAACAGAACATGGCATAACCTCCACCAGAAAAGTTACATAGTGATTTAAATACTTCCACATACCCTAAAGTAACATTCATTGAAAAGTATCGCTTCGCTTTTCCATATTTTCAGAGCTGTTCCTTTAGAAAAACAGGTTCAACTTTGACATTGTACACTAAAATACTCTGCCGGTGTATTTTAATGATAGGTCTTGTAGCCTTAACCGTGTGTGTGCGATATACATGCGTTTGTGAGGCTTGGCTCTGCTGCAGTAATGATGAAGCCATTTGGACGGTTCAAGCTGTTGCCATACTGCTAACAAGATCTGCTAGTGGAGCTAGGTGAAGCTAGCGTCTGCTCGTGTGGGAGAGTGAATATGTGTGCGCTATGCAGGCGAGCACTGTCTCATACTGAGCTCAACCAGTCCTCCTCCCCCTCTCTGTTTGAAAAATGTGAAGACAAAAACTACAAACAGAAGGTACGTTTGTGTGGGATTTATTTTTTTGGCTTTTATTTATATTTTAATTTCATTCTTAAGAAAATGTGGCTGTTCAAATTTAAGAAAAATCACAATTGTTTGAGTAATAATTAAAATGGAGATGATATGAAACCATTATTTTTTTATTGTCAAAAATTAACAATAAAGGAAGAATAGACTTCATTTTTTATTTGTAATCTTTGTTATGTCATTCGTGCTTTAAAAGTGCTCTGAGGATCTGCTCGCTGCTCGTCTCTATGGAGATGTTCGTGTATCATTCGTTCATTCGTTTTTCAGAATAAAACCATAAATAAGAAAATGAAAAAAACAACTATTTTCTTCATTATTTGTCTCCAAAAACAAAATGACAAAACGGATAATGATTAGTTTTTTCAGTTTTCGATTTTATGTTTAAATGAATAATGGAAAAAACGGATAATGGCCGTTTCCCGTTCCCGTGACTTAAACTGTGATGCCGGACTTTTGCGCCACATACGGACTGATCCCAGGACTGAACCAGGCTGAACTAGGA